ACTAAAGGCAACTCCAGCAGAAGCTCCAACTCAAATCAGCTGTGCTGCCTAGGGAACTGCTCCAGAGCTGCGCAGATCATCAGGCCAGGCTCCCGTTCTTCAGGAGCCAGCTGTGGGGGAAAAATCCCCAGAAGAAAATCCAACCTAAAATGCAAGTGAATTCTATCACCCAGGGGCACTGTGCAACAAAACCATCTCCAGCAATAAACAGCTGCACAACACTAGACGTTTCAGAGGAACTGGGCTGAGAACAGCCTTTGGAGGAAGTTATTTTGCTCTTTTACCAGACACACACAGCCATCTGATACAGATTTTGCAGGAAAAGGTATACACAGACATTAAGGAATACGTTTTCATCACAACATTTGGAGCTTTAGCCACACCACTGCCCTCTATAGCAGGGGTTCTCAAACTGGGGGTCGTGAGATTATTAAGTGGGGGTGACGAGTACATACCTCCCAACTCGTAAGTCTGCTGTGAAAAGTGATATTAACATACAAATATCACTTTTAAATATAAATGTGTTTTTAACTCCTAAGGGGGAGTTGCACTCTGAGGCTTGCTGTGTGAAAGGGGTGGCCAGTACAAAAAGTTTGAGAACCACTGCCCTACAGCCTCCATGGACCGACAGCATGCACACAGCTCCCACCCTGGGACAGCTCTACCCACGGACAGATTACTCCGTAGAGGTCTACGATGCTGTGTTTTGCACCTTCCTCTGAAGCATCTGGTACGGACCTCTCTCAGTATCAGGGTAGCAGCCGACACAGATCCAGAGTGGCAAATGCTACGTTGCCCAATATCAAGCATCTTGCTTTGTTTCTAAAATTGCTATATCCAGCCCAGTCCGAATCTGGAGGTTTTCTAAACAGACAGGGCCAGGCCAGCTTTCTTGCTAATCTTGGGAGCACCCGGAGGAAGTTTTTGGGCGCGTTGGTGTGTGAACACCCAAGCATCGCAAGCCAAGGAGTTCAGATTCCATCCGTCATGGACAAACCCCTCACGGTGATAACCGACTGTCCAGCCCACTAGCAAAGACAAAGCTGGGAGCACACTCCTTGCGTGTTTCATCTGATCGGAAACCAGATCTCTAGCACTGCCGGGAGGCCACCTCATGACCGGTTTAAGTTGCCAGTCCTCCCATGAGTCTTTCCAAAATTGCCAGAGAGCTGGCATCCGGAGATGCCGACCAACAGCAGCTACCCAACCATCATCCCGTTGCTGTTAGTTTCATTCTACAGACCTACGAGACTAGGAGACGGGCCCCAACTTGTGCCGATACCAGCATTTGGCGGTCTGGTTGACGCGGCTAATGGCCAGCACTTGGACACAGTAGCAAGCCAGTGAACCCACGAGGCAGTCACTCTAAATAAACCGACACTGCAGCGATATTTGAAGGGGATGCTGGGCCCAGTCTCACATCAGGAGGCTGCTGGCAGCAGCTCCGTTTCTTCAGCATCTATTTAACCACCAAGGCTGGTGAATTTGGTACATGTGACTGAAGAACCGGATGGTGCACCCCTAAAGCAACGGGACCCCCAGTTCAGTTCATTCGGTGACAGGAGAACAGGGCTCTCAGCCTAGCTGCTGCTGGGCATTTACTTAGGTCACGTCTGGTGAGTCTGAAAGTGAGCACCGTGACCATGTTCAGCCAGGGAACAGAAATATCCAGGCCAAGACAGCTCTGGAGGATCCCCAGGCGAATGCAGAAGGAACTGCTGCAGGATGGGGCGGGAGGGGGCTAGGCAGCTCTGGGCTGAACAGCATCAGCAGAGCTCGACTAAGACGGTAATCTGCGGATCAGGATGGAGGCGTACTGTCGGACCGATCAAGAGCGCAGCTCGGGAATAGCAGAAGGTGCTGGGGCTCATAGGTGAAAACATGACTAGCAAGATTCAGCTCAGCATGCGAGCAGAAAGGCTGGGGGCAGAGTTAGAGAACAGGACACACACTGCCCTTGAGCGACCACCCCTGCCATCCCCAGAGGAAGGACTGCTGCAAGACGAGACCCTTCGAAGTGTATTATTTCTATTAGTGTAACCCAAAGGAGTCCCGGTCACTGACCAGGACCCCAGCGTGCCAGGCGCTCTACAAACACTAAAAGAGACACTCCCTGTCCCAAGAAAGGAGAAGAAATCTCAGATGCCACCTTTGAAGAACAAAGGCAAACCAACCAACTTTAGCCCAGCCATTCTATCCCACTCAGACGGACAATGACCACAAAAACAACCCTGCACATCCGTCTCCTGCAGCAGCCGTTCTTCACATGCAGCCCGGGGGGAGCTAGCTGGAGACACACACAGCACTGGCTCTCCTCCTTGTTTCTGACTGCTACGTCTCATCTAAGGGGAGCTAACAATACATTTGACACTTTCCCATCCAAGTAAGTTGCGGCGGTTGCCACAGAGAGGTCCCATTATCGCCCAGGAAGAGCGGGGAGGGGTTCGCAGGATGGCAGATGGGGCAAGAGACAATGCAGCCGTTAACAAACCCGGAAGGGTACGAGAGGCCACACGCGACAGCTGGAGAGAAGAGGCAGATACACGGAGGAGACGACGCTGCTGCAGCCAACGGCTCATCAGGACGCAGGTGTGCTGAGAGACGTGAGGATATCATCTCTGTTAAAAGACATTAAACAGACCAATGGGGCCCAGCAATTCCTCCATCCCCCCCTACACTTGCACAGAAATGCTCCTTTCAGGAGGTTAATGTCCTGGCACGGCGGCTCTCAGAGTTCTGCAGAGTTGGCCACATTTTAAGACCGAAGGGAAATCCGGCAGGCGGCTCCTCTTCTGCAGTCCCACAGCAACTTTGTGGCAACTGCAGCATCTAGCAACCTGGAGCAGCAGCGTCAGGAAAGCACCTCATGGATTTACAACTGGGCTCGGCATGCTTTACCAGCGGGAAACGAGGGGTCACCCCGGCCTGGCTGGCTGCAGACCACCAGCAAGCAGCGAACAAGTCACAGTTCGGAAACCTCAGTCCAACAGTACAGCACGGCTCAGCACAGGCAAGCAACAAATTAAACCCAACCCTGTCCTGTATGGCACTTTGGCAATTCGGGCCCACTAATGCCAACCGGAAACCTGCACAATTTGGAGCCGGGTTTCTTTGTTTGCGCAGCACGCCCCACCGAGAGGGCCAGGCCAGCAATCAGACCTTTCTAGGGTAGTTTTAGCTGTTAGCAACGTTATTAACTGCTGCAGGAAAAACAAAGAAGCCAGAAATCCACTGCTGACAGGTGAATGGGCTTCCAGTTTGCCTCAAGCACAGATGGGCATTTGCTGTACTCCAGGAGTTGCTGACACATACAGGATACACACTCAATCAACCAGCATCTGTATGTTTTGCCGAGCCATTTAGCCATCGTTCACCCACACCTGCCTGATTAGAACAATGATACAGAGGTGCGGTTTAGAGGGACAAGCCAAGAGGTTCTGAACTAAGGCCAAAACTCTAGCCACCTGCCACCTTATTATGCTACTGGCTAGGAACACGGACCCCAAAGCATTCTGGGAGAGAACTGAACAAGAAACAGTGCCCAGTGCTGGGTGGCCACAGAGCCAGACTTGAAAAAGTAACACTTTCACACCCACAATGCACTGCAACAGAGCATCTTGACCTCCTTTCCTGTGCCAGACATCAGGGCCAGGAGCCAAAGCGTTCCTCCCGGGCTTTTCACCATTGCCACACGCCTCCTGGAAAGGGGCATGTACCTTGCAAGCTGGGCAGCACCTCAGCCTGGCTCAGACACAGCAGCGCTCCAAAGGAAGTGGGAAATGGCCAGCCCGTTTCCTCTAAGTACTGAGAGCCAGACACATTTCTACATCGGTTGCTCAGCCACCCATGTACATTCAAGCTCCCAGAAGACAAGCCAGTGATTTACCAATTCAGAATACAAGATACAAGCTCACCCGAATCCTCTGGAGGTTTTCCACCAGCCTGCCCTGATGCAGTTTAAGCCAGCTCTTCAACACATCCCCTGAATTACCGCGTGCCTTGCAGGAATACAGTCTCCTAATAAGCATTCAGTTTACATGAGGCTGTTGATTTAGGCCCGAATCATGTAAAGGCTCAACTGCCCCCTGCGGACTTCAAGCACCTGAGCTCGCTGGGTTACTCAGAGACCAAGTTAGCCACACGCATCAGTCTCCGCAGGATCAGGGTTCTTTTGCTTTTCCTATCCAGAGAAGGAAGCTGTAAGGGGCACAATTCAGAAAATCCAGACGAGCAGCACTGAACGTGAAGACCACACCCACCACAGGTGAAAAATCCTGCTTTGTGCCAGATGGACACCTGCATCTGCCCTCGCTGCACCACCTCTAACCTCGCCTAGGAGGCACTGGGACAGGACTTGAATCTTTCTCAAACCTGTTCCCCAGTGTGCAGGAGGCGCTGGGAGGGAGGGAGAGGAGTTGGTCCGGGACCGCCGGCCCTGCTGATAGGATTCGGCCCCCTCCCCTGAGCATGCCCCGTCCCTGCTTCTCCCCCTCCCTCCCAGCACCTCCTCCAGGCCGCTGAACAGCTGTTCCCCAGTGTGCAGGAGGCGCTGGGAGGGGGTGGGAGGAGTTGATCATCAGGGCCAGCAGACCCCCTGGAGTACCCTCGGTTCCCCAGCGTGCAGGAGGCGCTGGGAGGGAGGGAGAGGAGCGGGGACAGGGTGCGCTTGTGGGAGGGGGTGGATAGAGATGGAGAAGAGGAGGGGCAGAGGTAGAGCGGGGGCAGAAGAGGTGGGGTAGGGTGGGGCCTGTGGCTGAGTGGGGAGTTTGGGGGTCCACAAAATCTTTTAAATCAAAATAGGGGCCCTCGGGTTGCAAAAGTTTGGAACCGCTGCTTTACCAGATTCCTCCCCTGCCTCACGTAGCCCTAATTAGATCTTGGACACACACCAGAAACATCCATGTGATGACACAGCCAGATGAAGCATGGGGGTGGTTTAGGAGAGTACGTGCAGCAGATGACGAGCAGAATGAGGATGCCCCAGTGGGTGCTGTACTTACCCCGGCAGCGAAGCCCAGGCTTCCATCTAGGATTCGCCTCTGAAAATTAAAACAGAGCATTTAATTTTCCAACTGCTAAAAGAAGCAAGGTGCAACAGCTTACAGCATGAGAGCAGCGCTGAGGGGAGTTCGCAGCTCTGGCCCTGATTCTAAGATCCTCATATGCTCCCCATTACTGCAGTATTTGAGTGCCGCCCAATCTTTAATGTACAAGACATCCCTGGGAAGTAGTGCAACTATCCCCACTTTACAGATGGGAAACTGAGGCACAGAGGCACGAAGTGATTTTCCCAGTGTCACAGGGTCTCTGGTAGAGCAGGGAACTTGGGTCCCCTGGGCCCCAGGCTGGCACCCTAACCGCAAGGTGCTCCTTCCTCTCAAGCATGTGCCTAACTTCTCAGGGTTAATTTTAAGCACATGCTTAAGTCCCATTTTGGCTTCAGTGAGTCTTTAGCACCTTCCTAGGTACTGCCCTGCTATATAAAGGGGGACCTAAGAACGGACTTAAAGTTTAGGCTGTGCTTTGCCTCTGCCAGGTGAGCGCCTTGTCTGCAGTTCTTCAGTTTTCTCTCAAGTTTGGTTTCTATCCAACAACTGCTGAAACCAGAATATCAGTCAACTGACTGCACAGCCTCTCAATTATTCAGGGTTGCCCGCTGCCTAGCTCACTCACAGCGTGATTCTCCCTTCCTCAAGGGGAAAAGAGTACTATACTACCGCTAAGGGACTCTCCCTTCAAAACCAGGCTCCTGAATAAATCATCCAAGAAGAGCTTCAATAAGAAAGAGGCTGGGAAAGCAGGATGAAAGCCGAAGGAAACACTGACACAGGCCTGCCGCTTTCCAGAAGGCGGCTTCGGAGACCAAGGGCCACAGCAGAGTCTCCGCTTGTTCAACCCCGGAGTCCGGAACTGACCCAAGTTCCGAATAAAGTCACCGTCCATCACAGATGTAAAAGCAGCAGAGAAGAATCCACTCCAGCTGCAGACCTAAGCCGCCTGCTCACCCCTTGCTCCCAAAAGCTTGAGAAAGCAGCCGGTCCTTGCAGGATGCTGTGATGGTGAATGGATCTGGACCATTCCAGAGTCGAGACTCCCAGACTGAAAACACCTCGCATCAGAGAGCCAAGCAGGGATCTTTCCTTCTCATGCACCATCGCCAGCAATGTAGGCCACTCAGTTACACCCAGCAACTAAACTTTGCCAAGCAGCTGGAACTAGGTCAACAATATCACTGCTGATTCATGAGTCAGAACAGAATCCAGCTCCCTCTCTCACAGCTGCACTGGCTCCAGAGGGCCAGCAGGAGTATGAGCTACTTTTTATCATTAAAACGTGCTCTCCTGCTTGTGCATACACAGGGAGGGAGACCTGTTGAGGAAGAAACTGTCTTTCCACATCCCATTTCCTGAGAAGAACCACATTCGATGGCTTTACAGTTGTAATCTAACACAGATCTTCCTCCTTCCCCTCCCCCCACCATTCCTCCCCCCCCCACCCCACAGAGGAAAATAAATGCAAAAGATATTTGCTTGTGGGGCATAAATGCATAGGTACACATCTGAGAGCTGGATTTACGAGGGAGCAGGGGTTGGAAGGAGACTCCCTCCAACATCATAAAATGCAAATTAAGACTCCCCTCTTCCCATCCATAAGTCAGAGCCATACAGGCAGAATCAGGGCCTAATTATTTTGTATTGATCACACAGAAATCTTGTCTGGAAGGAGGAATGAGTTTTCAGAACTGAACGGCAACACCCACCTGGCCACTGGAAAATACAAAGACTAGCGCAGAGCCAGCAGCTGTCAGCCCCCAGGTAAATAAAGTCCCGAGCAGCGCCTGGACCACCGGACTGCAGTTTTGGATCATGCTGAACACACTCGGGTTTTACTGGCCTAAAAGAGATTTGGTACATTAGGAAAGAGACAGCGGCAACATAAAACTCAGGCATTACAGAGGACAAGACATCCCTTCCCTGTTATCAACAGCAGCTCCTTAGGGCCTGGTTCTCAGAAGGGCTAAGTCCCTGTTGCTCTCTACAGAGCTGTAGGTCCTCAGCACTTCTGAAAAAACAAGCCCTTCTATTACTAACGACAGCTGTCGCTTACATCGAGTACCCAGGAGGCTTGCCTGTATTTCACTCCGCATCAACAACGAACCTCCTCTGGTCTGTTTCACTGTTGTGTATGAACCTTTTCTGGTTCAGGCAGGCTGGCAGAATGTCAGCGTTTGGGGGGTTGAAATCCTGCCATTGGCACACCTGAGCCCATGTAGCTCCTCACAGACTATGATGGTGATCCAATCCAAGGCAGGATCAAGGCCCACAAAGGTTTGTCAACGTGTGGAGTGATTTAAAAAGAAAAACCAAGCGTTACAGTCCTAGCAGTGTTGATATTTTAGAAAGTTTCAATAAACAAGTGAAAAGCAAGTACCATTTCAATCCTACCCCCACAAGCAGTTTCCTACATCCACCTTTGGTCTTCCCACTTCCCTTTCTAGCCCTTTTTCCATTCACCCCTCAAAAATGAGAAGCAAGATGCAATTCAGTCTGCACACCCTCCTCACCCTGAGCAAAAGAATGCATTCGCTCTTTTCCATTACACTTGGACTGCACCAGAGAAGTGGCTGCTTACGCCACTCCAAAGGGCGCACACCACTTTCCACGTACTTTTGCCGAAAACAGTTTTACCCCACGTCGGCATTTTGAATATTCGTGCACTCACAGCACTATTTTCATTGCACTGATAGTTTGCAGACACTTCTGTTGTGCAGGAAAAGGAGAGCTAAGCCAGCAACAGATAGGGTACTTGGATACTTCTGAAATATTATTATTCAGGAGCAACCAATCATGTAAGGAAAGGAACACAGATGTTTTATTATTTCATCTGAGGAATGCCCAGATAATGTGAAATAGTTATATCATCTCCCCCCCCCAAGGAGACATTTACTGAGATATTTCTCTCTGCCAACCATGACTTTAAAAAAAAACAAAAACCCTCTCTTTAGAGATCTGTGCAGATTCTTTCTACCTGCTGAACTTAAAGTTAAAGGCTAACAAAAATGCCAGCCTCCGCTGCTCCAACTTTCCCTACTTCACCACAAAAGCTCAACACCGAGCCCAGCTCTACAATCCACCCTAAAGACTTCAAATCCCGCTCTTTGCCCAAACCGGCCCACACGGGTACGCGTGGCTCGCAGCGTCAGACACAGCTGTAGCCCACGAAAGCTCATGCTCAAATAAATTGGTTCGTCTCTAAGGTGCCACAAGTCCTCCTCTTCTTTTTGCGAATACCGACTAACCCGGCTGCTCCTCTGAAACCGTCTTTTCAAGGTCCCTTTTCTCCTCCAAAGTCCTGCCCCCAAAACAAAACAGAGCGGGGCCCTGATACGCTGCAGTCTTACACCTTCATTCGCAACCTCCCCCCTAAGCAGGGGTTCACCAACTGCACCCCACCAGGCCGGCTTGTAACAGGCCAGGACTTGCACCTCCGAGAGTTTCACCCTCCCCGGGGCCACGCAGCACCTGCCACATCACTAGGAAGCCGCTGCGGTTGCAGGTCCCGCTCTCCCCAGGGTCACAGCCCGGGGCAGGGGGGGAAGAGCGCCGGCCCGGCCCGGCACGGCCCAGCCCGGCACGACACGGCACGACACGGCCCGGCCCGGCCGCGAATGAGGCACCCGCAGCAAGGGGGCCCCCCCAACGCGGGGTTACTTCTTTACACGCCCGGGGGGGTAGGGGGGGGCTCCGTGACACGCCCACCGGCTAGGGGCCAGCAAGTTTAACCCCCGCCAGCCCTGCGGCCACCCCCCCTCCCCAGAGTGACTTGGCTTGCGGGCTCTTTGCGGCTCCCAAGCAGAGCATGCGGGGCCGGGGGGGGGGGGGGCACTTGTTACTCTGGTCTGCAGCGGGCCCCTCCCCGGGACATGCGGGAAACACCAACTCACTGCATGCCATGCCATGCAATGCAATGCAATGCAATGCAGGGACCCCCCTGCCTCCTGCTCCTGCCCCAGCCCTGCCGCGGCTCCGGCTCCTGCGGCCGCTTCCGGCTCCCCCGCCCCCGCCCCGCACACGTGTCCCGCGGCCCCCCCCCCCTGCGGGGCCCGCCCACTTCTGCCGCGGCGGCAAATCCGGAGGGACGCGGGAGGAGGCATCGATTCTATGGTTCGCCCCGCGCGGGGCTGGCAAAGCCAAGCGGGCGGGCGCTTCCCCCCGAGCTGGCGGCTTTGCCGGGTCACGCTTCTCGCCCCTCCGCCCTCGCGAGCAAAACGCATTGCTTTCCTGGCCGGCCGCGCTGCCTCGCCTGCTCCCGCTTCCCTCGGCTCTTGGGGCAGTGCAACCTCCGGACGAGGTTCGAGGAGAGAAAGGGACTAGCCGGGGATCGGTCCTGCTCTGAGCAGGGGGTGGGACTAGGTGCCCTCCTGAGGCCCCTTCCCACCCTGTGATTCTGTGAATTGCAGGACACAGCTGGTTGCCAGAGTCGGTGTCCAAAGTCCTCCCTTTGCACTGTGCTGGCTGAGCCTTTGCCGGCAGGTAGATTCGATAAGGGACAAAGTGCATCCTCGATTGGCTTCTTTCAGGCACTAATTTGACTAATCTAATCGCCTTCCTTGATGAGATAACTGGTTCTGTGGATGAAGGGAAAGCAGGGGATGTATTGTTTCTTGACTTTAGCAAAGCTTTTGACACGGTCTCCCACAGTATTCTTGTCAGCAAGTTAAAGAAGTATGGGCTGGATGGATGCACTATAAGGTGGGTAGAAAGTTGGCTAGATCGTCGGGCTCAATGAGTAGTGATCAATGGCTCCATGTCTAGATGGCAACCGGTGTCAAGTGGAGTGCCCCAGGGGTCGGTCCTGGGGCCGGTTTTGTTCAATATCTTCATAAATGATCTGGAGGATGGTGTGGATTGCACTCTCAGCAAATTTGCAGATGATACTAAACTAGGAGGAGTGGTAGATACACTGGAGGGCAGGGATAGGATACAGAGGGACCTAGACAGATTGGAGGATTGGGCCAAAAGAAATCTGATGAGGTTCAACAAGGATAAGTGCAGGGTCCTGCACTTAGGACGGAAGAATCCAATGCACCGCTACAGACTAGGGACCGAATGGCTCGGCAGCAGTTCTGCAGAAAAGGACCTAGGGGTGACAGTGGACGAGAAGCTGGATATGAGTCAGCAGTGTGCCCTTGTTGCCAAGAAGGCCAATGGCATTTTGGGATGTATAAGTAGGGGCATTGCCAGCAGATCGAGGGACGTGATCGTTCCCCTCTATTCGACATTGGTGAGGCCTCATCTGGAGTACTGTGTCCAGTTTTGGGCCCCACACTACAAGAAGGATGTGGAAAAATTGGAAAGAGTCCAGCGGAGGGCAACGAAAATTATTAGGGGACTGGAACACATGAGTTATGAGGAGAGGCTGGGGGAACTGGGGATATTTAGTCTACGGAAGAGAAGAATGAGGGAGGATTTGATAGCTGCTTTCAACTATCTGAGAGGTGGTTCCAGAGAGGATGGCTCTAGACTGTTCTCAGTGGTGGAAGAGGACAGGACAAGGAGTAATGGTCTCAAGTTGCAGTGGGGGAGGTTTAGGTTGGATATTAGGAAAAACTTTTTCACTAAGAGGGTGGTGAAACACTGGAATGCGTTACCTAGGGAGGTGGTGGAATCCCCTTCCTTAGAAGTTTTTAAGGTCAGGCTTGACAAAGCCCTGGCTGGGATGATTTAATTGGGGATTGGTCCTGCTTTGAGCAGGGGGTTGGACTAGCTGACCTCCTGAGGTCCCTTCCAACCCTGATATTCTATGATTCTATAAGAGACATCCTTTAAAATAAGGATCAAGTGATCAGCCTAGTTACAACCCCACTTTGGTCTGAATCCGGAGTAAGCAGCACCCTGTGCCAGTCGTTATTGTGTTTGCCCTATGGTAATAGTTCGACGTAGCTGCCCCGTTCTGCAGAATTCCACCTGTGCAAATCGCCCTCGTTTCTGGGCACGTAACCCTAATCCTCAATGTATGGCCAGTACACCCAACAGGGGTGGACTGCAGATGGGAGGGAGGGTGCGTAGCGGGGATGGGGAAGGTGAGTGGGCACTGGCAAGTAGGTGGGCGCCCAGGTATCTGGGATTGATTGGGTGGTGCAGGATGCATAAAAGTGCAGGGGTTGGTCCACCAATATGGAGCGTTTTCCAGGCTCCAGGCCATAGCGGGGTGCGTGGGGAAAAATACCCTCTACCGGCTGGGAAATTATCTACCATCGAGAAGCAGGAAACAGAAAGAAAAGATTTCTTTTTTCCTTCCTGGTTGCTCCAGTTACAAGTAAATAGCTACCGCTGGTTAACTGTGTGGCGCCGATTTTCCCTGCCCTTTTGCAATACTGATCTTTCTTTCCATGTGATAGTTCATAAATAATAATAAATATGTATTTCCAGTGGCCCTCACAATGTGGATGCTGGGCAAACATAAAAGGCGGCCAGCTCCCAAAACTACCCCAAAAAGTTTACAGGGATTATATTTATGTTCAATATGTTTTCCTGCCCACAGTGAATTATTAGCATAGGGCACCGCTTCCCCTGGGGCAGGTCTTCCAGGGCTCAGCACCCAGCAGCCCCCATTGTGATTCTCCTGCCCAGGTTTGCAAAAAAGAACCCAATGTGCTGAGCTCTTCTGAACGCCTGGCACCATCAGACCTCCATATGCAAATACCACAGAGGGCTGCTCTCCAATCTGACTGTTTTCAGGATACCCGGCCCCAGTTCCAATGGACGGCTTGTTTGTTTTTAAATAACCCACACCTGAATTCAAGACAGAGAAGGAATTCAAGACGGGCACCACACAGTCTGTTCGGTGTTGGAAAGGAAACTGTCAGACATAAAGAAGAATTCAGATGTTGTGACCATGAATGGATGAGACCCAAGGAAGGAAGCAAACAACTGGGAAAGTGTGAAGGAGGCAAATAAGCAGCGGTGTCAGGGAAATGATAATGGTTGTTAAAATTAATGGTGGAAACATTATCTCTCTTCTGCTCCTTTTCTCCTCTGTTCATTCATTTCTCTATCTCTCTCCTGCTCCTTCCATCTCTCTCCCTCTGTCTCCCCATCTTTTCCTCTTTACTCGTTGCTTCCTTTGACTCTTCTTTCCTTTCATCTCAGACATTCTCCTCTTGCATGTCTTCTGCCTCCCTGTCTAAAGCTCAAGCCTAAAATCCAGCCTGATAATGATTCTTTTGTAGCCAGCACGGCAGAGGGGGTCAGGGCTGGGAGCTCAGCAGCAACCGAGTGAGTGAGATCTGCTCAGCCTGCCTGCCTGGAAAACCACAATCTAGTTCCCAATGTTCAAGTCTTTCCCAGACAGCCTTGTCCGGCATTTGATCAACAGCTACCCAACCCCATCGCATGATACTGCAGGGGTCCAGGGGGTGAGCGGGCGAATCCTTCCGCCTCTCCAAATGCCTGGTTCCTCAGAGAGGAGCACACGGGACTCCTCAAAGTGTTGCTGACCGACAGGCAGGCGGGGGGGGGGGAGTTCCACTCACTTTACACCACAGCCCCTTGGATGGCTGTAGAGACGGATCTGAGTGCCCCTCAAAGACAGAGGCGTCGAGGGGCTTCCCAAGGGTCAGGTAACCTCATTCACTGGGGTGACCCTGTTAGCATCCTCTGGCTTCAGGCACACACCCCATCCCCACCAGGCTGGAGACCGGCCCAAGAGCTCCCTTCCGGGGGGACAGGCAGCCACATAATACATAGCCCAGGGCCCAATGTTCACAGCAGCCGTCTGCATCAATCTTTCTTCTGACAGGTCTTCCAACCTCCAGCACTTGCACTGGGGTTCGCAGCGCTCCCCAGGGCATGAACTCCATTAGCTCGTTGGGGCTGGGTTTGTACAGCACCTCGCACAATGGGAGCGTGGTCCAGGCCTGAAGCTCCCAGGTGTTACTGAAATAGAGATCATATGAATGCCCCATTTTATTTATTGTGTGTGACTGCAGGTGCTACTTCCTGGCAGATATAGGGGCCACGAGCATATGCACACACGCATGCACGGCTGGCTATGGGTTTTCGGGAGACAAGAACTCATCCCCCTTCCATTTCATCTCTCCGCCCCTTGCTGCACCCCTGTCACAAGCCAATGTGACACCACGTCACACAAGGGCAACCAAAGCGGGCGAGACCCCCTCTATCTTCACCCACATTGCCCACTGGTTGTACCCAGCAGGCTGGAGCGGGGATTCCCTAGTTAAACTCTACGCCAGCAGGTTTCAAGACAGAGACTTTCTGATGCTAGTAACCCAGATCAGCACGGGGGCTGGGCTGGGGAGAAAACGGGCCTCCTTGTACAGAACCAGTTCTGCTCCTGATTGACATTGGTGCCAATCAGGAGTGACTCCGACCAAAGCGATTTGAAGGCTCCATGATTTATCTTTTAATCAATTTTCCCCCTATAATTGCCTGCACCCTTCATTAGCTCTTCTAACGAGCCAGATGTGAGCAAGGTACCAGCTGAGAGAGGAGATGGCTGCCGAGATAACAAGGCCTGACCTCCCTACTCCCTTAGTGCCTGCCTGGCGGTCAGGAATAGCTGGTCTGGCCCAGTTCTTCCTCCCTGATCTATCACGGAGACAGGCACTGAATTCTGACGCCATGCCTGGGGGGGCCCGGCAGAGTTCAGCGCTCAGGTCAGCAATGCTGCAACAGACATGGAGGAGTCGGAGTCAAACCTTCGTTCTGCCTCTGGAGTTGTCATGGGCTCCAGATGTGGGGTGCCTAAGCCAGAACGGGGTCTCCCTGACCCAGGGGTAAAGCCAGAGTAACTTGATTACAATGGAGACACTCCAGCATTATACCAGTAACTGAGAGAAGACTCTAGCCCATTAACTACAATGCAGTCTTGTCGGATTTACGTCAATAACAATGTGATGCATCCGGCCCCTTAAAGTCACTCCAGATTGACACCAGTGAAAACAAGACCAGAATCCGTCCCTTCGTGCTGCTGGGATTTTCTGACTGTACAAAGGTCCTTGGGGTATATTTTCTCCCCATCCTTCTTA